TNAAACTTCATGTATGCTTAATTAAGTCAGATTCTAATTTTGAATAAAATATTAGTGAGTAATTTGGGTTAATAACAAAAAAAATTCATGGTAACTAGGGAATCCCCATTTTTTGTCATTTTCCTAATTACCATTTAATTTTTTAAATATTATTATAACAAAATAATTTAAAATGTTGGCATAAAACAAAACATTTTGGAATATATTGCGACATGAACTGTTAGAAAACTTTTAACATTTTGAAAACATTAGTAATATTTCGTTTACTTTAGAAATTTTATTGTTTTTTTAAATTTCTCTATATCTTTTAAAACCGAGCTACATTGATAAAATTTAAGAAAAAGAAAAAAAAATTTATTTGTATGCAGAGAGAAAAGAAGATTACCGTACGTAGTTAGTAGTTACCTTGTGCTACATAATTTAATCAAACTTAATAATTTAAATTTGATTATTAAGTGACTCGCCCTCAAAGAAACTGGGTTTCCTCCTTTAAACAAGGCAACGACCGTTTATGAAAATGTCAAAGAAGACAAAATATGCTTACTTGTATATCTCATAAATTATTTGGAAAAATGCCTCTACAATTGTAACAGTGCCAGTGGTTTAGGAAAAAGTGTAACTTTGGAGTATTTGTATTTAAGTAGTGTTGGAATTTATACAATCATCCCGGTTTAGTTTCCTGGAACCGTTACAATTATCACACGTGATTGCTCTTCTTTATAGGTTTTTAGCAGAGAAATTACATGAATAGATCTGGTTATGATGATCTAGGTTGATAGTAATTATAGGGAAAATCATACTACAAAACCATAAAATAACCCATGGTCACTACATTCACAGAGCTGAAGATGGCAGCTCCTTTGGTGCTTGCAGCCACCAACGAGGCTGTCTTGTAGTCACTCTTGAGTAATTTTTACAGTCAAACAGTCTCGACTCTTGCTTTATCTCTCCGCTCGCAAAGTCTTTGATTACCTGGAAGAATAATAAGTTAGTGAAATGAGACTTAGAGCATAGTGCTCTGTGAATAAGTACCTGACTTATGAGCTTCATAACTTCGAGGTTCTCCAGATACGCTAAGTACCATGATGCTTGAGCAAACATGAAATCACCAGGCCACTCTTGTACGGAATAGCTCAGAAACAGTTTCCTTTCCTGCAATTTTACATTAATCTCCAGCAGAAGAGAAAACAGATGAATCATCATAACCATCAATGAAACTCACCTCTTCGCATATCACTCTCATCGTCGTGTATCAAGCTTGCGGTGTGAATCATCTCGATGATCTCAGCCAAAGGCTGATGTTCTATTTTAAGTTCCCTGCAAGACATCTGAAAATGATCATTTAGTACTAAAGATGGATCCCAGTACAAAAACAATAAACACAAGTAAATAGATTTACTTACTTTAGGCCTGCTAATTCTGTTGTGGCTCGCGATACAAGGAATCCCAAACCTGGTCTCATTCTTTTACCACCAGCTCCGAAATTTTGCTCTAATAAAGAACCACTTTGTTTAGAGCCTCTCAAACAAACAAAAATAGAAGAAGACTGGAGAGGAGCTTCTTTGGGTTAGACAATAGATTGTCATTCAACGTCTGCAGATCATCAGCTACTAACTCAAACAGATTTGCCAAAGAAATCGGTTGTTCTGACTCCTGCCGCAAATCGGAAGTCACTGTTCTAGCTTGACCAATACCTACAGTTTCATGAGGCATAAGCATAAACTCCAGGTTCTTGAACAACATTCAATTCAAGATTTGCAATAACAACAAAAGTGAATTGGCACCAGAATAAGAGACAAGAGGACTTTATTCAAATCAATCAGATATTTAATCAAACACAAAACTACTAATCACATGAACCAAAAAGATCTAAAATCAGATTAGTATACCAACTCCGAGAACCATACCTTCGACCATAGAGATCTCCTTGGATTTGGTCAGAACAGCTTTGAAACTCTACATGTCTCGCCGGAGAAACACCAGATTTCCACTGCCATAGCTTCTCGTGAAACCAACTTTACAAAGCGTCTTCGAGAGATTGCTTAACGGAAACTGACGACGACCACAACCACATGCGATCAGATCAAACACATTCGTACCTAACTCTATATTCAGACATGAAGATGAAGTTATCATTTTTGTACAAAACCCAGAAATCCAGTATAAGCTTGAGGACTTTGGATTTATCAATCTCTGTAAAGATTCAAGCTTTTACATTTCTCCGCCCGGAGATTGGGTGTATGAAACAAATTACAGCTAAAAAAGGTACAAAGATACAAAATTTCAATGAATTGAAAAAAACCCAAGTGGGTTATTAATTAAAGGATCGAGTTTGTTGCTTTAATTTGAGGAAGTGAAGAAGGTTGCGAGGACGAAAGAGACGACTATGTTCGTAGAGAAGAGAAGAGGGAAAACAATTAAGCTCAACCTCGCCCCGTATTACTTATCCAGTGTTTTAACATTCAGTTCCTTGTATTAAATACTAATTAGTTTCAAGCTCTCCAAAATTTTAAAATTTATTTCTAAGCCCTTTTCTTCTGTGTTTTTTTTTTTTAGCCGTTTTCTTCTGTAATTTTTCAAGTCTTGTGAAAGGTAATAAAGTGTAGTACTAGTTGATACTGAAGAAATCAAATCATGAAGTTCAATATTTTGATAAATGATAGATACATTTTTATTTTCTTTGATGATATCAAATATAATTAACAGAAGAAAAATTTCAGGAATCAAACATTTAACATTTGAAATATCAAAAATTTTAAACATGCTCCTCTGTTTTCTTGCTCATGTGTATGCATCGTAGCAGTTTCCGTAGCCTAGCCTACAAATAAGGGGAAAAAATAAAAATTCAGTCTGACGTTTTTCTGTAACTATTCTAGT